GGTTCAGCGACCCTGCTCGGGCAGCGCGGTGCCTCCGGCAGCGCCCGCACCGCTGCTGGTCCCGCCAGCCGCGGACGTCCTCCAGGTCGAACGCGCATGGACTATGAATTGCAGCCGTTCCGAGTCGGCGCTGATGCGCGGGACGGGCTGGAGAAGCCGCGCTGCCAGCCCGCGACGGCCCTCCCGGGTTATTTCCCCGAGTCAGCACTTTTCAACAGCGTTCCCCGAAGTCGAAGGCGTTCCCGTGCGAAGTAAAGGGACGGCGGCATCAGCAAACTGCCGGAGCCCAACGCTCCCGGCGGCTCCCGCCGTGCTGCCCTGCCAAGCGCCCAGTGACTGCTTTGCCACGAAGGGCGAATAAAAAAAACCTGAAAATGTGAGCAAATCAGGCAGCCTCCACGATACGAGGTGGTTTTCTATGCATTTTTCTAAGCGCTACGTATACATTTGTAATGTATATGTAAAATTACATTATGTGGGTGTGCTGCAGTGTGTGTGCATCGATGTGTTTGTATACAGTATTTTTATCTCCTTAACAGAAACGGAACAACGGACTTCTTTCTCTGGAGGCCTGGAAAGTTAATAAAATTATAGCAAGCCTGAAAACTCAGCAATTCATGAAAAAAGAGATTTATACCTTTTCTTAATTTTATCACATTACAGCATTGCAGGGCAGAGAAAGAGGGCCGGTACCACCACCTGGAGTTCCAGGTGTTGCCTGTGAGCCCCAGCATTCCTGGGTGAACCCGGCACACTCTGATTTCGGAGCTTCCCAGCCACCTTGGCTCCATCCTGGAGCAAGGACTCACACAGCATCTCACCTCAGACAGGCTTTCAAGTGATGTGCCATAAATCGTAGAATCACAGAATAGTTTGGGCTGGAAGGGACCTTTAAAGGCCATCTAGTCCAACCCCCTGCCATGAGCAGGGACATCTGCAACTAGAGCAGGTTGCTCAGAGCCCCGTCCAGCCTGACCTGGGATGTTCCCAGGGATGGGGCATCTACCACCTCTCTGGGCAACCTGGGCCAGGGTTTCACCACCCTCCTGGTGAAACATTTCTTCCTTAGCTCTAGTCTGAATCTCCCCTCTTTTAGTTTAAAACCATCACCCCTTGTCCTATGGCAACAGGCCCTGCTAAAAAGTCTGTCCCCATCTTTCTCATAAGCCCCTCTCAGCCCTGGCAGCTGCAGGAAGGTCTCCCCGGAGCCTTCTCTGCTCCAGGCTGAGCCCCCCCAGCTCTCCCAGCCTGTCCTCCCAGCAGAGGGGTTCCACCCCTCTGATGCCCTTGGGTGCATCTTACCGGGTCCTGTGGACTTATCTATGTTCAGGTTCCTCAGGTGGTCACAAACCCAGTCTCCTACAACGGGAGGGACTTCATTCCTCCAGTCCCTGCCTTGAGTTTTGGGGGCTTGAGAGATGTGGGAAGAGAGATTACTATTGAAAACGGAGGCAAAAGAATTGTTGAGTACAACCATGCAGTGCATTTTGGGGCTGCCAGCCAGCCAGCTCAACGAGCCTCACATCAGTGAAGACGCAACTTCAAATGCCTGGACCTGACCCGAGTCCAAATTCTTTCCAGAGAACGATAAGATAACAGAAATCTTTTACGCAATCAAGGACGTGAAACAATTTCTCCTTCATCTACGTAGGTTTTCCCAGATTTAACCTCTTCCACGCACGCTCAGGAACACTGCTTTAGAAACACCCTTCGCGAGAGCACCTTCGACTTGCACCCCTTGAGACACGCTCCCGGAGGAACATCCTCTCTCCCATCAAACGCCGCCGCGGCTTGAACTTGGCGTGATCTCCCCAGTGACCTGTCGCACCCGCGGGTCACTGTGCTGTAGGAAAAGAGGAGCAATGATATTAGACATGACTTGATTAATAAACATCCTGAATCTGGGTAAAGCAGCAATATCCGTGGGTAACAGACTAGGCTGCTCACCTGACTATCGTAATTAAATACTCTTTAGGATGCTTCGTCTTCTTTTAACGACACACACGGAAAGGAAGCCGCGCACAATCCCTATAGCAACAAACTGTACGTGCATCAGGTGTCAAAACTGCTCCGCAAGCAGCAGGACAGCAGCCAGGCACTCCCCGAGGCCGGGGGGCTGGCAAACAGAAAAACAAAGGAAAATCAGGATGCGAACATTTTTTCCGCTGTATACGTTCAACCCCGATTGTTTTGCTCGTGATGATTTTTGACATCAGATTTCTATTCCGCATAGCATTAAAATAATTTATTTTAAAATTAAATCTCAAAAGGTTTCTCTGAATTGTTTTTTTTAATCTCAGCCTGAAGTCAGGGTAATCCCCAGCTGACCCCAAACTATTTTCAGCAAATAATTTTATAAAGAAATTTCCATTGATCCAAATTCCATCCGAGGCATTAGATCAACACATGCAAAATAGAGCAAATGTGAATTCACATTTTATTTTCATGCAGTTATTCAATTTGGAGAAATTAAATGCTTTTGAAACTAAGCAGCATGTTGAGAAAAGGAAGCTGACTTTAGTTTGAACCACAATTAGATGCTTAATTTGCTATTAGGAATTGGCAGGCATTTTTCATCAGGGAAGTGGAAATTAGATTTGACCAATGGACTGGGTCATGTTGCTGTAGAAGACATTCCTGGAAGAGCTCAGAGTTACAAATGTGATTAATAAACGTACCCATAATTTATGGGGGAAAAAAAAAAAATCAGTCTGAAAAGAATCTCAAGACTTGAAATGAAAACCTGGTCTTCCTACAACATCCTCCTCCTTATAGAACACGTACAGCCCACAGTTGCGTGGAAACCCACATGGAAAGTGCCACCTCTGAGCGTGGAGATGGCCACGGAAGCGTGGGGTTTTGCGGCGACAGCACCCTTTCAGGATGCTTGCCTCCTTACAAAGTGAGATCTGGCAGAAATTTAGAGAAATGCATCTACATGTGATGTTATAAAAACTTGAAGCCACATTCTGCAAGTTGGAAGTTGTCTACCACCACCCTGAGCAGCGACGTCCTCGGGGAAAAGGTGCCCTCGTCATCGCAGCACTTCAACCCCCAAACCGCTGTTACCGCGCGTGCGTGCAAAGGAGCAGCAGACCTAAAGCCGCGCTTGCAGTTTTTCCACTCTCGATGCTCGACTCTGTGACTAAAGAACGTAACTTTTAAGTAGGTTTATTTTAAAAACCTTGATTTCTTCTCACCAAAGCGCCACTGGCAAACGTACGCATTTCAAAATTCACTGTAGCTGCTTGAGCTAACAGTGTAACGAGCCAAAGGAGAAGGCTGCCGTCTTTATTCCGTCTTTATTTCAGGACTGCCTGACCACTCCAACTGAAACACTATTCATCCACAATTTCACTTATGTTTTCAAGCAAATTATCACCAAGAGGAGTTCTGCTCCCCTCTTGTGTTGGTCCCTGCATGGTCCACCACAGTGTTCCACCCATTCATGTGACAGCACACGGATTCAGATGCCAATGCAACGAGCCACAAGAAGGAATTTCATTATTATTAATCTAACCAAAACCACCTTAATTTAACTCAGTTTAAATTAAATGCTTATGACACCTTATGTGAAATGATCTCTGTTTCACAACCCCTTGCTAAGAAAATCTTGCATTTTACTAAGTGTGATTCAAGTAAGTTTCTTGAGGCAGGAATCCTCCTGCTTTGGTAATTTACGTTGCTTGTACGAAGCACTGTCCGCGTCCCACGATATACACCAAGCCCTTCAAAACATTATTTCAGGAGAAGCAAAGTCAATGTAAGGAGACAGACATCAATTCTAAATTACAACACTTTATTGCAGCATTGGCAAAGGTCAGATTTCTGAAGCTGGTGAAGATCGGGCGGCATTTCGGTATGAAATGTTACAATTTTACAAGTCTCTCTTCCTACATGCAGAAACCAAAAACAGTGGTAAAAAGGATTTTTAAAAGAGCTAGAAAAAAGAATTAGTAGTAACGTACAGATGAGCTCCTTAACTCAATTAACTACCTCTATCTGAAAGCAAACAAAAACTATGCTAATAAATAACAGATTGTCAGAAACAGACCAAGAAACCTCATTTCTACCTAGAAAAAAAATAAAAATTCTACTTGTTTCCAGACTTAATTTTTTTTTAACTTTTTTTTTGTTTGTTTCAATAGACACAGAGGCTTATCAACCCATGAAAAATCAACAAAATATTTGGATCCACTCCTTGACATCCTCCTCTTATGCTGACTGGCACATTTTGGTTTTCAATGATACATACAATGGGCTCAACTACATCCCCGTCCTTAGGCTGGTGTCAGGCTGTTCCAAGCAGTACGAGTCAACACCCCGTCTTAATCAACTTCACATTTATTTTAAACCCTAACAGACATTTTACCTCCTTGGCTTTTATGTATTTCACCCCTCACCACTCCCCACCCCCTCCTCCTCCTCACTCCTCTGGCAGTAAAAGGCTATTCCTTAAGTAGAAACTTTCTCCCTGAGGAGTGTTTGATAACAAGTTATCCTACTTGTCAGGGTTTTCTTTCAGATTTCACCATTTGCTCTACATTTTTCTACTGTAGGTTTGCAGCCCCCAAAGAATATTCTTCCAACACAAAGCACTCCATTCGGAGACATCGCAACTTGCATCACATTTACAACTTTGTTCTCCCACATACTGAGCTGCCAAAGACCTTTTCCGTTCCAGTGTAATCCATCTGAATTTCAGGTTGATCTTTGTTTTCACAGAGCTGCTCACTGGTCAAGTTAACCATCTCATTCATTTACTTCTGCTCTTATGAGAAAATTAACCCTCAACGTGGTTCCCATATCAAAAAGCTTTTTTTTTTTTCTTTTTTTTTTTTTTTTCTTTTTTTTTTTGTAGGCCATGACTGGAAGCTTCCACTTGTTCTGTGTGGGGTTGGGGGGGAAGAGGGGAGGCTGTTGTTTCTGCCCCACGGCCCCAGCCTGTCCCAGGTTTCGATTCTGAACGCTCTAGACTGACATGCTGAGATGTGTCCACTGCTCTCATTTAATCGCTGGAGGACTCCACTATCCACAACATCAGAGATACAGGACCTAATGAAATGACACTTGCTGCTGGATCAACGTCTCCTAAGAAAAGAAAGAAAAAAATTATTTAATATGAGATATCCAATACTGTATGGGTTAGCAACCAGTGGAATCAACTGTTAGTGATTCTGATGTTATTTTAGCCTCTATGTATTGAAGTTACATACTTCTATCATCTGCACAAATTTCTCAAAAGACCACATCAGACAAGAGAAGGCAGATAACTTGTATTGGGGAAAAAAAAAGTCCCCTACACAATTTCAGCAGACAAGACTAAAATTATTCAGAAGCAAACAGCTGCCTTATCCTCCCAGATGAGACGCTAAACTACTGAAGTGCACAGCTGATTTGTGAGTTTGTTGAAATACAAGTTATTTTAAATAGTTTTCATCTTTTTGTGCACTTTCTTGAAGTTTAGAAGTACTGCAGAAATGTTGAGAGGTCTTTCTAGAGTCAAATAATTGTTTAGAACATTTTTAGAGAGACAATAGTTATATTAAAAAATCATCCTGTCTTCATGAAAAACATGTCCCTACCCAGAAAAAGTCATATTTAATTCCCTCAAGAACGTAAATATGCACTGAAAAGTTACGCCAGTTTGCAGGCATGTGATACAACAAGACCAGAGTAGCCTAGCAGTAACACTAATCTAGTATCACCATCTTCAGCACAATCGTCAGTTACCGTATCTGGGCTGGTTGTTAGTTGATTTCTAGACTGTAAATTAAAATTTAGCAGTACAAAGCAAACTAAAAATTAGACATTTACAATTACAAAAACGCTCCAGGGCTACACACCAAAGTCTTTTACTTTTACAACAACAAAAAAGTTCACGTTCTTCACAGCAGTGCGTAAGCCTCAGGCATTTGTTGAACAGTAAATTAATCTTAATCTAGTTTTTACTGAAAAACTTGCAAGAAAAATGCCACAAGTATGTTTAACTGGCCATAGTAACTTCTGCATTTCTCATAACAGACAAAGCTTTCACAGTAATTCAGTATTCTTACACATTGCTTTATTATTCAGTATTTCAGTTACTCAGTATTGGTGTGTTTTATTTAAACATGCTGTTTATTTTTTACACACATTTAAACTATGTGTGTAAAATGAATGAATTTTTTGCAACCTACTCCCCCAACTCCCTTCCCTGCTACCAAAACAGTTATTAATTTGTATAAAAATCATACAGCCATCTTTTCAACACCACTGTGTAAGTATTAGTACTGCCCAAATACTCCACATGCTAAGAGAAGCACACAGATACATTTCTACCTAACCCCTGCTGGAGTAGAAAACCAGAGCTTGTAAAAAGGCACAGAAGCATTACACCACAGTATAGGCTAGGAAATAATCATGTGAAGTTGGCAGAATTTTAAGTCAGCAAGACAACATTATGGCTTAAGTTGAAACGTGCCCAGGAAAATATATGCAACTTATGAAATCAAGTCATTTTTGCAGACATCACAAGATCACAAAAAATTCTTGTTATTTCTTAACACGTGAGAACTTTGAGATGGAGTTGCACACTTGCCCCTTCCTGTCCTACATCAGCCCGCAACGTAGTGGGCATTTCTAGAGTAGTGTATGTATTCGCAGATTTGAGGCACCTTCCTTCTCCTCCAAACACCTCGTCTCAAACCTCACTTGCTGCTTTGCTTTTCACAACTAATCTCAGCTTTGGTGCTCTGTGTTCTCTCTCCCCCCTAATCACATTAGCCAAAACCAGGAACACAAAATAAAAACACAATGAATGCCTGAAATGCATCTTTCTGTTTTAAACATAACGCTCTTTCATGAATGGTTCTTTTCTTTGTGTGCCTTATTCTGCTGAACACATTTTCTTGCTTTCAGATGCATGAGCTTTAGAGAGAAGGACGGTTGTTAAAGAGGGAAATGGCACCCGAAGTTCAGACTCCTGCTCTGGACTGTGGCCTGTATGGACAGCAGAGATAACTTATGGAGACTGATCTTTGCTTTCAGCTCTCCTCCCACAAAACTGGCCTTTGAGAATAAACAGTATGTGCGCATTCCTGTATTCTGGCAAGAGAAGAAAACTACTGAGGGGTACTAACTTAAGTCCTGGGAAACTTAAATTCAAGTACCTATCATGCCACAGCAGCTTCTTTCCCGTCTCACAGATCTCTGGAACTGCACAAAACACCATCTGCCTTCCACATAGGAGTGTGTGTGTTCACATATCAGACCATGAGGTGACTTGATTCCACAGGAATGAATGCAGTAACAGAGATTACAGACATATTGTACCTTCATATGGACTGGAGAGAAGTTTCGGCAAAAGTAAAGGTGTTTAGACTCATTCTAAACACATTACTGCTGCTGGTGTGACTAAGTTCTCAACAGCAAAACTGGAAATTACATGCTGTAGAATGTTAACTAGCAATTTTGTACTGAAAAAATTGAGCACTGGATTTTAAATAATGTATCAATTTAGCTGTGCAAGAATATGTTCTCTGGAACAACCATATTTCAGAGTGTGTGTTTCTGGACTAATAAAAAAATACTAAGGTGCACTGGTCATTTCCTACCAAATCTGAGTTACCAACTTCCTCACTGTAAACATCACAGATTCAAATAATCCACAGAAGCTACACTCAACTAAGTAAGAGAATCTTAAGCTGTCCAAGTTATTTTATATTCTTATCTGTTCAACAAAAATAAAATACTGTGACAAAATAACTCAAAGTCATAGTATGCAGAGCAGGCTATTATCAGGGAGGTGTTTTGAGGATTGGTAATTAGTTTCCAGAAGGCCACAAAGCTGCAGGGTTTTTTGCTTAGTTTGTTATTAATTTATATTGAAACAACTTTTTTTAAAACAAAGACTTTAAAATAAATGAGTATGTTAAGAAATAAAATCTTGCCTTCCTTTCCCTCTAAACTATAGTTGTGATCAGGTCTCTCTTAACCTTTACTATATGGGTTAAACATTTGCAGAGCCCACCAAGCACGACATTGTAAAAACAAAAACCTCGCTTTTCTTATTTTTTCCCGTTCAAGTCCAGTGCAGTCCACCAAAAAATGCTGCAGGATTTGGAAACCAGGGCTTTCCTCCCATAAACAGCTGAAAAAGGAGGTAGGAATTTCTCTGCTGAGTTTGAATGGCTTTCATGGAAAGCCACAGCAGCCTGCGTATGTATTAGGGAAAAGGATGTAGTACAGGATCAAGAATGGTAACTGAGAAAAGGAGAGGATTAAAATACTGGTGAAAAAGATGGCAAAGAATAAGGTGAACTGAGCTAGCACACAAGTAAATAGAGTACTGAATTTTTTAGAATTTATGATATCTAGAATGTGAAAGTGGGAGCCATTTCATCATTAAAATCTCTGAAACAAGAGCAAAATACTATTGCTAGAGTGATTACCTCTTTCTTTTTTTAAAGAATATAAGAGATCATTCAAAATGACAACTAAAGATTTCAAAAGCAGCGTGATGTACCAAGGGACAGATGTGTTAGTTCAAGACAACACCCAAGAGTTTGTCTATTTTGAGATGATGACAGTCTGCGACAATCAGCTAGACTGAAGCTAACAGAGAAACTGGATTTAGGCTGCCCAAGACTTGTGGTATATGTCAATAAAGTGAATTCAAAGCTTTGAAATGCAATATTGGTCAATACATCAACGACACAGTGGGTGAGGTATGAAGCATGTTTGTTTAGTAGCTGAAACAGGAAATTACATTTAATTCACATTTTTCCTTATTATGTACACTCTGATTTTTCAGCATTAATGAAATACTCTTTAATATAAGAATACTTAGCTAATAAAATCTTAGCATCCTGTTGTTACCGTTATGCTTCATTTTTCTTTATTTAAATGGGTTAAAGAAAAATAAGACTCAGATGCAAATAAGAGTCCTGAAATTACCAATTAACTTGAATATGATTTAGTTTGGTCACCTTACATCTGCAACCTAATGGACCTTTTGACACAGGTCCTCCTCCTTTACTATACTTTCAAAACAGTAGTGAGTTTTGCGATTACTGCTTTTAATAAGGAGAGGTTTAGCAAGTTTAAAAACTTCTTGGTAAGGCTCACTTCTCTATAGTGAAATTTGTCACTGCAATTCTGTTTTTCTTTCTTGGTAATCAATATTTTTTAATAGATTTCATAAAATGTGGTTATTTACGTTTCACTTTAAGTAAGCCATTTTATGGATCTCAAGCCTCTTTAAAACAAAGGAAAAATACTTTTTTGAAGTGAGAGGCTGTTCTCCAGAACTGTAAAAGAGTATTTTCATTATAATCCCATCACTGAAAAAAACCACTTTTGTAAATTTTATGTTTCCTGAAGGTATCAGTTTAACAGCTTGATAGCCAAAGTCTTCTTTTAATACACAAATGCTACAGAACTGGAAGCCAAGAGTGAAAATTGTTGTCTTCAGAGTTCTGCTGAAGCAAGTCAAGGAACTATACTTTTAATGGAGTCACAGTAAGTTATCTTCAAGGCCAGCCAGCCTTAAATGTACAAGTCCCAGAAAGAATCTCCTCCTTACAGGATTAGTAAGTCTTAAAACCTGAGGCTACAGAAGCAGGTGATTACAAATAAACAGCAATAAACTATCACAAAGCAGGTGTCACATTTATGGGTGGTTTTGGGGTTTTTTTTTGGTTTAGCACCACACTAAACTGTAAGAGAAGCAAATTTAGGTTCCAAGGGCCCTCTGGAGGTCATCTAGTCCAAATCCTGCTGTCACAGCAAGGCTAATTGCAAAGCTAGATCCAGTTGTTCAAGGCCAAAAACATGTGAGAGAACCCAGTGCTGTCCTCATTAGTTTTTGAATCACCCATTATGATAAGTAGATTTGGATTTAACTTACTAAAAGATGTTTGAAACATGGTGCTTAAACCCTATTTAGCAACACAGAAGTTAAGGTAAACATCAATCAGTTTCTCTACTCTTAGCACTACTTGAAATGCAAGAAAGTCCTCATCCCAACCTTAGCCAGCAGAACCTGTCGGATTGTCCATTACAATGGAACCAAGCAGGAGATTTAATTGTTCAGACTATCCCTAACCTCAGGAAATCTAAAATAAAAAGTTGGATACTTTAAAGAAAGTAACATGTTATTTCCAATAAATTTGAGTTACTATGCAAGATAATATATCAGTCTTCATATACGAAGAAGAAACAACCCAACACAGCTCACGCAGCATGTCAGTGATAACATCTTTAATTGCACAAATTGGTCCTGTCACGTAGGAAAGCGAGAACTTCTCCAAACAGATACTAAAATCAATAGCTCAGTTCCTATTTGCTCTCAGCAGCTTTTTAACTAAAACTAGGTAACTTCTTAACTGAAAGATGAGAGTAGTCTGGACAAAGAGATTGCAGTTCACCCTTCAAAGTCTGAAGACAATCTTCCGTATATGCTGTAAATCAGAAGCTTTAAAAAAGTAGGCAACAGGCAGTCGATACTAGGAGTGGTAAACCATCAGAGGACCCACAGCCTCCAATAAATCCTGCTTACATATCTTTCCATGGGGGTTAAGAAAGGTAGCGCTCCCTTACTACAAACTAAGATGGTTCAACTGATGCATGACTGCAAGCCTGAGCATTGCACTATACAACAAATAAAATACGCCTACTAAAACAAACTTCCTGGTCCCTGCTTTAAGGAGCTTACAGATTAAAAGGAACAAAGAGTAAGTTACATAATACAAAACTACATCAGAATTGCAAGCGCATGGCACAGCTATTGGAACAAGCAAACGCTACTTAAACTGTTTGCTGGATGATGCCTGACCTAGTTTACAGTGAAGTCCTAAACTGTATTTTCCCCAAAACATTTGAAAACAAAAAGCCTTCAGAGGAACCACATTAAAAAAATCTGCACATTTCACATTTACTTGTCTGGCTGCTTTATTTAAAGAATAAATGCACTGTGCTCCTCATAAGTTGCAAGGCGTTCGGGAGAGATCACCAAAAGAAGAAAATACTGCACAGTTATTTATAAAACACCTGCAAGTATTATGGCAATTCAGTGTAACCAAATAGCTTGTATTTCTATGACAGTATTAGGTCATACTGATATGAAAAAGCTAAATAGACAGCACTGTTCATTTTAACGGGTTAAATCTGGTTCATTTTTTAAAAAATATGTATTTTAAATCACAGTCTGTTTTCAAAAGAGAGTAGGGGTTTGGTTTTTTTGTTGTTTGGTTTTGGTTTGGTTTTGTGTTGTTTTTAATACAAGCAATATCTATATAGGGTCTCAGTGGATAAGTGATCATCAAGAAGTCATAAAATGCTGGTAAAACATACTGGAAAGAAGTTGGCAATGTTGCTGTAACATAGGATTACTACATTACATTACCGTATTTGTAGTTCACAAAGACAGAGCCACTAGTAGGTAAGCTCTCCCCTCTCACTTGCTTCTCCCATCTATCCACCTCCAAAATTTACTTGCAGAGAAAAGAGAAACACAAAAGCAGTCTGTGTTTCACCTGACACTCTGTCTATTCAAATTTGTGCTGCAGGGTTAATTTAATGGTTTATTCTCAAGCTTACTCTGAGTGAGAAGAGACATACGGAGATACATTAGAGCTGTAGAATGACTAATAGGCAATCCAGAAGAGCTCTTTTCATGTTAACACTGTTCTCAGTATGCTTTTACACACCGTAAATCAAAGGTTCTGCCCCACTTCCTGCCTTTACTATATTTTCTTTCCATTCAGGGTGTCAAAAAAAAAAAAAAGAGAGATATAGCTCACAAATTCACAAAATTGAAAAAGCACAACAGGAATTCCTCTATATATTTTTGAGCAGTCTTTTCCTCCCTCTCACTGAGAGAGCAGACAACCAAGGGATCAGGCCCAGCCAGCACATGTTCATGAAAGGCAGGTCCTGCTTAACCAATCTGATCTTCTTCTATGGCCAGGTGACCTGCCTTGTGGATGAGGGAAAGGCTGTGGATGTTGTCTACCTGGACTTTAGTAAAGCCTTTGACAGCATCTCCCACAGCATTCTCCTACAGAAACTGGCAGCTCATGGCTTAGGCAGGTGCACTCTTCACCTTCTTCTTTACTCAGGTAAAGAACTGGCTGGATGGCCGAGCCCAGAGAGTTGTGGTGAATGGTGTTAAATCTGGCTGGCGGCCGGTCACAAGTGGTGTTCCCCAGGGCTCAGTTCTGGGGCCGGTCTTGTGCAGTGTCTTTACTGATGACCTGGTTGAGGGGATCGAGTGCTCCCTCAGTAAGTTTGCAGATGACACCAAGCTGGGTGGGAGTGTTGATCTGCTGGAGGGTAGGAGGGCTCTGCAGAGGGATCTGGACAGGATGGATCGATGGGCCGAGGTCAGTTGTATGCGGTTTAATAAGGCCAAGTGCAGGGTCCTGCACTTCGACCACAGCAACCCCATGCAACGCTACAGGCTTGGGGAGGAGTGGCTGGAGAGCTGCCCGGCGGAAAGGGACCTGGGGGTGCTGGTTGACAGCCGGCTGAACATGAGCCGGCAGTGTG